ACCCCTGACCAGAGCCAGAAGTCCTGAGCACTGCCAGGAGAGGCTCTAAAACAAGATCAAAAGTATATCTAAGGTTGTCAGATTCGGGCTGGAGTAGTAGCACAAAGGGTAAAGCACTTGCCTTGCATGCTGCTGACCCCAGTTCAATCCCTGGCATCCAATAAGGTCCCCCCAAGCACTGCCAGGAGTTGTTTCTGAGCACAGAGTTTGGAGTGACCCCTGAGCATCATCTGATGTAGCCCCCCGCCAAAAATAATAATAAAGTTGTCAAACTCAAAGAAACAGAAAGTAGGTATGGTTGCTATAGTTTGGAGGAGGAAGTGTTCAATGTATAAAGAGTTTCAGTTTTGCAATAGAAAGAAAATCTGGGGGACAAAGAGGCAATACCACACGCGCATGCCTTGCAGGGGACCGAACCTGGTGACTAACCTGGGTTTGACCCCTACAATCCATATGATCCTCCAGCTTTCCTATGGTTAAGCTACATTTTCCGTTTTGATAAATATTTGGTGAAGACATACTGCTGCACTTTTTCTGTTCCTCATCAAATATTTACCTGCTCTAACTTTTACTATTTTTGCTGGATCAATTATTAAAATAATGGGTGCAGAAAAAGGTGACTGATTCCATGGCTCCATATATTAATGTCATTATGTCATTAATTGACATTCAGCTCTAAGGAAGGTCTTTTTCTTATCTTTGCATTTATGAATTCATGGTAACTTATTTTACAGGTGAGAAAGTGGGTTGATTCCATTAATGTATTATTACTGTTCATTGTATGGGTACTAATACGCTAATGACATTATTCGTTTTGGGGTTCAAACTAGAAAGTCTGACTAATGCTTGCTCCTTTCACATAATCCTTGTCCTTTGCATGCCCCTTATTCTTACTTGTCCTCAGTATATTTTGCACATTTCCTTACTTACAAAACGTCTTACAAAAAAGGTTTCAGATCCATCTTGTATTTTCTCTCCAGCATTTTAACCCAAAAGAGGGCAGAAAAAAAAGGGCCCACCATAGAATTACATGAAACACTAGTCAAGCAGACAGGAATGTGGGAGGAAGAACTAAGAGGAGAAGCCAGAAGGAGAGGGTAACTTCCTAAGACATTAAGCCTCTCGTACATCAGAAGCAACGTTCTGAACGTAAAGATATCCTTAAGTATCACCGTCCCTAAATTTATTTTTACCTACAGACAGATTCCATCTCACCTATACAGAGGGGAAAAAAATACAACCGTGAAAAGTTCAGGACTTTATAGCAAGATAATTTGAATTCAACTCTCAAAGCCTGCTACAGACTCTGGTTTATCTAAGTTACTTTACCTGGGAACCTGAGTTCCAGCTCCAATGCCTCAGAACCTTGGAGATCCCCAGCACCATATCACAGGGCTGAGAATGAAAACCTCCAGCCCAGGTGGTTCCCGTTGGTCCTCTTGAGCACTGCTTAGGAGTCCTTCCCCACAAAGAAAAAAAAGACTTCAATTTCTTTCAAATTTGAGGGCTGCTTCTGAAGGAAGGTTCAGAAGGGAGGTAGACTATAACACTCCCAAACAGGACTCTTCTGTACAAGAATTACTTTATGTTGTTTACTTTTAAGAAATAAGAGATACAGGGAAAGGTCTGAAACCCCAAGTAAAAGTTACACTTTTGTTTTGTAAGGGACACAATTAAAAAATTGTAAGAGTGTATCCTTCCTCTTTTCCAGAAAGAAGAGTCTTTGAAAACTCTTGTCAACAGAGAAGACAGTCATTTGTGTCTGCATAAGAACTAGAACCCCCTTTATTTCATGGTCACTGTGATTATTTTGTTTTAAAAGTAACTAGATTAGAGTTCATGAAACTTAAGTTAGAGGACTGAATTGAAGAAGGTAATTTACAATAAAGCAAAGTGAAGAAAAGTCCTCCCAATCCCCAGCCTCCGGCCTTACCCAACCTATACCTTTTATTCCACATTTTAACTCTCTCCAGACAATGATACAGGATCCAGGATTATTGTTGATCACCATGACTTGGCAAATTTTAGTCCTAAATCTGGCTGAGTCATCATGGTGCAAAAAAGATCTTAATTTCATGTGGACAAAAGGTTATGTTTGGTGTGGTCCAAATGTTATCCATACCTTCCCTTTAATGCCAAGTGAGTAAGTCTTAGGTGTACTTTGCTCTTGAAAGTAGAAATTTTATTTCTAGAATAGTTGGTTGGAAAAATGTTCCATATCTGGATTTTATAAGCTTTTCTAAGATCCAAAAGCAGATGACTCACCTTTGGTGTTTTGTCCGTCATATTCCTGACCAAAAATAAAAGCACTTTGTTCACAATGATGTACATTGTGTTTCAGTGTTCCAAAATAAAAGCAACACAGGGTTAGAGAACATGGAAGGAAGGAGCTGGTTGTTCATCAAAGGTGCTTTGTTTTCTTGTCATACTCACTCTTCACAATAATCCTGTTTCACCACCTTTAGGCCATTGCAGATGCTTCCTGAATATCTCCACACATGCCAGATTGCTTGAGGACTTTTGCTTCAGGGTAGTGGAGCTGCTGTAACTCTACTGTCCCTGTGAGGGAGGCAAGCCTCAGGAGTCTGGTGATGCCACAGAAGTAGCCAGAAGAGCGGGATACAGCAGGTCTTTATCCTGACACACCCGGAAGCCCATTCAACTCTGAACTTTGTAGGAATCAGTAAGTCTCTCTTCTTCTTTTTTTTTTTAAGGCATCATATTTTATTTTATTTTTTTCTAGGAAGTGTTTTTATTTATTTATTTTTTTCTTATTATTTTCGTTATTAGTGAAACAACATGAGGTACAATTGTAGACTTACAAACTTTCGCTTGGGTTTCAGTTATACAATGATCGAGTACCCATCCCTCCACCAGTGCCCGTTCTCTACCACCAATGATCCCAGTAGCCCTCCCACCCCCCATCCCCCCATCCAATCCCGCCTCTGTGGCAGGGCATTCCCTTTTGCTCACTCTTTCCTTTAGGGTGTTGCAGTTTGCAATAGTCTCTCTTATTCTTAAAGCCAGTATGAGTCATCCGAGAAAAAAAAATACCTTCAGTCAAGCATTTAGGGGCAAGAGTACAACTGTGGATAAAGTCAGGCATCAGTTCTCGGGAGTGGTGGGACATAGTTCATTCAAAATTGCTATTTCTTTGAATCCTAACAGTTTTATAGGATTCGATCTTATTTGTTAAAAAAATACATATTTTCAACCATCTCACTTTTGGGACTCCATCTTGTAGGAATAGGGCATTAACATGCAAAGCTCTCCACAGAGCCACATGCACATACAACACCAGTGACAAAGCAAAACAAGACAAGAAGCAGCATTGGAGTTGCAGAATAACTTATGGCACATCCAAATTATGGACCATTAACCAATAACTATTTAACAAGTTAATAGCTCTGTTTACCAAGAGAGGTGTCCATAATAACAAATTTGAAAAGCAAAAATCTTCAGAGTATCTTTTAAAAGGGTCCCTTACTCCTTGGGTCTGTGCTCGGGGATCACTCCTGGTGGAGCTTTGCAGACCCTATGGGGTGTTGGGGATTGAATCTGGGTCAGCTGTGGGCCAGGTAAGTTTATTTTACCTGCTGTACTACCTCTCTGGCCCAGCTTAATACTGTTTTTATAGAAACAGAAAAATAAACCTTCTATATGTGCATGTCTGATGTTTATGGAGGAGATTGACAGGGTCACTATGAGGCTGGTCAGTAAGGTAGGTTGTAGTCATAAAGTAAAACTGATTACACTAAAAAGCAGGCACTGAGAGACAGAAAAAAGCTCTGGGGTGGGGAGGGATGGTGTACCTTGCACATATAAGCACCTAATGGCCCCCAGGAAAGTATGGGATTTCCCACACTCTTTTTTAATTTTTTGGTCAGGGATATGATAGCAAAAACATCGAAGATGAGTCATCTGCTTTTGGATCTTAGAAGGGTTTATACACCATTGGCTGTGGCCCGGATAGCACCCTGGGATGAGCCGCTCCCTGAGCATTGCTTGGAAAGATCCACAAAATTTGAGATTATGGGGGAATTTGGACGGTAGCCACACCCAGTGGTATTCAGGGGTTACTCCTGACTCTGGACTCAGGAATCCCTCCTGGCGGTGCTTGGGGGACCATATGGGATGCCAGAAATCAACTCAGGTTGGCCGCTATTGTTCCAGTCCAAAAGGGGGTTTTTCAATTAAGAGGTTTATACATATTTTCATTGTCTTGTTATTTTATAGAACATGACTGATAAAGATTGGGCTAGGGATCAGGGATATAGACAGACACAATGTGTAGGTTCTTGGAAATTCCTTAGCTGGGCAGGAAGCTCCAAAGCCTGCCACTTGCCAAAGCTTGCTGCTGTTTCATTTCTGTGTTTTGAACTTACTATAGACTTCGGTGCTCATGTAAGCACTTGATATTTATGAACTCATTTTCTTCTTTAAAAAGACTCCTAATTTTTAGGGGTCAGGGAGATAACCCAGAGAGCTAGAACACATGGATGCCAGCAAATACAAACCAGCCTGTATGTTTTGAGAGGGACCCCTTGCTTAGACCAAGACCTGGGGAGGAGGCCAGGAAAGAAGCCCTAAAGTGGCAGAGCTAGATGGTCCCCAGTGTCAGGAGCACTCCCTGGGGGAGTCATAGAGGATTCACAGTGGAGGGGGACACTAGACTTGGTCGTGTGGATGGGAAATATGTTGGAGAAAAGCATTAGGGGACAGACACACACACAGACACACATATTCTCTCTCTGTCTCTGTCTCTCTCTCTGTCTGTGTCTGTGTCTCTGTCTCTGTCTCTCTCTCTCTCTCTCTCCTCAGCGTCCCCTCTCCCCTCTCTCCTTTTTCTGTCTCTCCCCTTTCACCTGCCATCCCTTGGGTCTGGGGCAGTCCTACTCCTTCCTGGAGCAGTTCCGCCTGTTCCAAAGCTCCACCCTCTCCTGGGAGGGCCAAATATTAGGAAGCCCGGGACTCCTCGACTTGCAAAACCCAGCCACGGCTCCTCGTTCGTGCAGCTCGCGGACCCCAACGGCCGTAAGTAGAGGCCCCTTGCCCGGCCCCCTCCCCTCCTTCCCGAGCTGAGCTTCTCGACCCCTCAAATGCGGGGCGTTAGCTCCTCGCTCTCGCTCCCCTTCCGCCGAGCTCCGGGGTCTTGGAGGGGGCTCAGCGGGGCGCTGGAGGGAGGGCGCCTGGCTGCACCCCGCTGCTTGCTAGCCGGGGTCGGAATTCGGGGGCGGGCACCAAGGTGGGTGGGGCTAGAGGGTGGGAGTCTGGGGCTGCCGGGCCTGAACCTGGAACCCCAACTGGCCAGCCTCAGGGCCTGACAGTCCCTGGTCACGCCCTTTCTAGGGAGCGTCAGTATCTGTGGCGGTTGAGAATTCGCTGCAATTCCCTTTTGGTGTTTTGTTGTTCGGGTGGTTTTTTTTTTTTGAGTGTGCACACCTGGAGGTCTGGAGGGCTGCTCCAGGCTCCGTGCTCCGGCGTCGCCCCTGGAGGAGCTGGGGAGGGTGCCTTGCAACACCAGGGATCGAACCTGGGGTTCCGGCATGCAAAGCAGGCGCTGCATCCTTTTGAGCTGCCCCCCCAGCCCAATGATGGGGAGATGCTGGAGGGGAAAGAGCGGAAAAAAGGGTCAGACTGCTGGTCGGACCGCCCCGACTGCCCCCCTAGCCCTGCAGAGACGCGCCCTGCTGGCTACGGCGGTGCCCACTCCCGAGCACTGGGCGCGCCACTGCATGAAATCGCCCAGCGGCTGGGACCCTGCGGCCCGTTCACTCCCGGGCGTGTGGCTGAGGCTCCCACGTGATGCGGAAAAACTGGATTTTCTCCCGCTCTGGTGTGGCGATAAGTTAAAAGCCGAACCGGCAGAGCTGTCGGGGGCGCTTGGAAAAACGGGTGGAAGGCGCAGGAGCAGCGCCACCGCCGGGTTCCAGGTATCCGAGACCCGTAGAACGCGCAGCTCTGAGAAACTTGCGCGGCTTTCTCCCGGGATCTTTGGAATTCACCTCTTGGGAGGGAAGAAATGAAGTGTTTCCATGCCAGGGAGCTGATCCATTCCTTTGACAAGACCTCACGGTGGCTGACCTGCAGTTCAGTGTTGGTTTACATTTTTTCCTTGCCATGGACTTGGCCGATGAAGCCTGACGTTTCCCAGCCGTGCACTGGCAGTGCTTCTCTTGGGTGGGTTTGTTTGCTCGATTGCTTGCTTACTTTGCATCACACCCGGTGATGCTCAGGGGTTACTCCTGGCACTGCACTCAGGGATCACTCCTGGCGGTGCTCTGGGCATCATAGGGGATGCAGGGGTGCCGGGATCCCTGGTCCACGGTGTGCAAGGCGCACCTATCCGCTGTGCTGTCGCTCCGGCTCCAGTAATACTTATCTTGGAGGGAGGTGATACAGATAAAAACTAGGTGATGCCTATGAGGTGCTCAGCAGCGTCGTGGACACGCCATGAACACTAAATAAATGCGGCAGGTGTTAGATGATAACGCGGAAAAGTAGTGCATGGGTTGACCCTGCTGTGCAGAACCGGGAACCATAACAACCCTTACTAGCAGCTGCTACATGTGTGTTCTAGGAACTCCAAGATGGTTCATGCTGAGCGCTGGACCCTGAAGAAGCACTTCGAAGGCAGTCCTACCGATAGTAACTTTGAATTGAAGACAGTTGAGCTCCCACCCTTAAAAAATGGAGGTGAGTCCTACTTCTAGGGCTTGAGTCAGAGGAGACTGTATCAATGTCAGTTTGGACTCATAATAAGTGACCCCCTAAATGCAGTGACTTCAAACAGTAATTGTCCGTTAGTTCACACTGGTGAATTGCTGATCTCAGCAGGCTCTTCTGAGCTCTAGTGGGCTTCGTGGTTCCATTAGAATAGCCTCATTGAAGTTTGAGTCCATTTTTTTTTTTCTCCACACAGTGGTTTCAAAATGCTGGAGCAGCAGGAGTTGGCAGTTCCCAAAGTGCAGGCACTTTCCAAACTCTCCTTGTACCATGTCTGTTAAGATGCTATATGGGTCAAAGTCCTGCAGCCAACTCCAGTTTCAGAGAAAATAGACTTTCTTTGGAGGGGGAGCACATCTGGTGGTATTGGGAACTCCCCCTGGCGCAATGCTCAGAGGCTACCCCTGACCTTGCTGAAGGGACCATTGGGTGCCAGTATCAAACCTGGGACTTGTGCATGCAGAGCGTGTGTTCCAACCCTTGGGGCCATACCTCCTACCCTAGGAAATAGACTTCTTAATGGGAGGAACGGCAAAGGCTCCTGAACACAGAGATGAGAGGTATTTGTGAGCATTGACAAACCTCCATAGACCTTTTCACAGTTCTCTGTGTTTAGTCTTGACATCAAAATCAGGGTCCCTCAGATTTTCTTGACCATTGAAACACTATTCTTCGTGATTTCCTCTTGAGCGTGGAGGAGGTCCTGTGCAGTGAGGCTGAGGTACCAGAGGGGACAGCACTCCTGAGCAGTGTGTGCAGAGCTCAGAGTATTCCTGAAAGCAGAGGAGCGGGGAAACCTTCCATCCTTTGCAGAGGAAGCTCGCCTGTATGTGGGGAAAGTAGAGGGATTTGGCAAACTTCAGGAGAGCCATCTAAGGAGAGCGATGGTTAGCGCACCCAGCGTGCTTAAAATTAATTCTGCAGAGCAAACGCTATGGGACGTTTTAAGTAGGTAAGCCTGAAAAAAGGGCAGGCCATCCAATACCCTGGCTGAGATATCCTGTCCCTTCAGTTGATAGCCAGAACTTAATGGAAAATTCTAGAAAATACATACATGAGGGTTATTAAAAAATGTGTATTTAATTCTGGCTGGGACTGATAATAAAACTCTTTGAAGTACTATATATACACAATGACTATAGATGTGGTCTCAGGAGAGCTACTTCACCTAAATGTAAAGCAAATGAAAGTAATGATTATTGAGATCATTATATGAAGTACTCTTGTAAAGCATAAAGTGTTGAGTAAATAACTCATGGTGATAATGATGAGTGAATTAGCCAGATATGAGGGCCCCTCTTGTTTCTTCCATAGAAAGCACAGATGAAAAAGGGCAGCCCAGTGTGGGGGAGAGACAGTAGATGGTAGGAGGCTTGCCAGGCATGAGGCTGGCCCGGGTTCAATTCCTGACACCTCATGTGGTCCCCTGAGCCTATCAGGAATGATCCTTGAGCACAGAGCATGGAGTAAACCCTAAGCACAGCTGGGTGTGGCCCAAAAAAGAAAGAAAAGAAGAGAGAGAGAAAAAGAAAGGGAGGAGGGAGGGAGGAGGAGGGAGGGAGGAAGGAAGAAAGGAAGGAAGGAAGGAAGGAAGGAAGGAAGACAGGAAGACAGGAAGGAAGACAGGAAGGAAGGAAAAAAGGTAGGGAGGGTGGGAGGGAGGGAGGAAGGAATAAAGGGAGGGAGGAAGGAAAAAAGGGAGGGAGGAAGGTAAAAAGGGAAGGAGGAAGGAAGGAAGGAAGGAAGGAAGGAAGGAAGGAGGGAAGGAAGGAAGGAAGGAAGGAAGGAAGGAAGGAAGGAAGGAAGGAAGGAAGGAAGGAAGCAAAAGAGAAAAAGTGCAGCCATGAAGCAGGAATATTGTCTGTTGATCTGGCCTTGAGTGTCTGATTGTGTAATGCTTTGTTTCATAGAGGTGCTGCTGGAAGCCTTGTTTCTCACTGTGGATCCTTACATGAGGTATTATTTCCTCTGAAAAAGTCTTGTGTTGTGCTTAAGCCCTATTTTATGTAGTTGATCTTTTAAAATAGCCATTCCTTTTACAACCTGTCATCCCCCACTCCCCTTGCTTCTCCAATGTGCTCTCTCCAGGGGTGATATTCATGCTGGGCTTTCATCCTTTGGGGGGGAGGGGTTGCAAAATGGTGGTGGTGCTGGAAATTGAACCTAGACCCCATTGCTCTATCTCTGACCTACACCCCCAGCTCAAAGTCTTTCATCTTTGCAGGCATAAAAGGTAAAGGTAAAGGCCCTCCCATTGTTCATCGATTTGCTCGAGCAGGCCCAGTAACGTCTCCATTGGAGACTTTGTTGTTACTGTGTTTGGCATATCGAATACGTCACGGGGAGCTTGCCAGGTTCTGCCGTGCGGGCGAGATACTCTGGTAGCTTGCCGGGCTCTCCGAGAGGGGCGGAGGAATCGAACTCAGGTTGGCCATGTTGGCTGCGTGCAAGGCAAACGCCCTACCGCTGTGCTATCGCTCCAGCCCTTTGCAGGAATAGGACTGAGGAACTTGAGGAGAGATTACTTTTGCCCATTTATTTTACTATAATCTCCTATTTGTATTCTTTTTATTTGTTTGTTTTTGGGTCACACCTGACAGTTTTCAGGGACAGTGCTCAGAGATAATGCCCAGCAATGCATGGGGGACCATGCAGTTCCCGCGAAGAACCCAGGGCCCCCCCCCATGCAAAGCGTTTGCTCTAGTCCTTTGAGCTATTTCTTTGGCCTTATCTCCTATTTTGTTGTTGTTGCTGTTGTTTTGTTGTTGTTTACTTGGGGGCATACTATAGCAGTGCTCAGGGCTTACTTCTGCAGGGATCGCTCCTGGTGGTACTTGGGAATCATATGCAGTGCAAGCGATCAAACCCAGTTCAACCACATGCTAGGCAAAGAACCTTACCTGCTGTTGGGTAACATTGCTTTGTCCCTCTACAAGAAGCCTAGGTTTATCTGGTTACACCCATCACAGTGCTCCTGAGGCACTTCCACTTCCATTGTGTCTATCTGTAAGCAGTTTTCCCTAATCTCTCCTTCCCACCCAGTTAATCAGCTTTCCCCTTAATCAGACTTTGTTAATTTGTAAGATCAGTTTCCCAGAAATCTACGATTTTATATGTATGAGTGAAATATTGCCTTTCTCCTCTCCTTATGCCTTATGAATAGTTTACCTTAAAGTAATATCCTTTTTGTATAGATACAGGAAGACCGTTAACATTATGCTTTGTAACTTAGGATTTGATTGGCCTTGAATATTATTCACTCCCGGGCATCTGCTTTCTCGACTTAAGCCTCAGTTGCCCTTAGTCCCTAACACCCCAAAAGCAGGGTCCCGACGAGGGACTGAATGGACCCAGGGCAAGCGGTGAGCTACCCTGGCAGCAAAATGGGCCAGGCCAAAGTGCCACGATTCTTAACTATAAGTTAAGAGTTTGATCATGGACAAATGCTGTCATGATCCAAGGTAACGATGAGACTAAGATCCTGCTAGGGGTGGGAAAGACTATCTGGCCTGAGCACCGTAGTCTGAGATCGAGATGGCCCTAGGAGAGCAATTCTATAAGTTTAAGATATTTCTTACTGTATCCATACAAAATGATTTATATTATAGTCTTATATGCTTGTCGGACAAGGAGAGGAGAGACACACCCTTGGGATTCCGCTCTAGGGTGGGTCCTCATGCTGAGAGAGGATCTGTCCTAGGAGCGGCCTTCCCTGAGGCTAAGATTTCTACCCCTATTGATTGTGACTGCACCTATGTAATTGTTTTCCCTGAAGATAAGCCCAAATGCCTGTATTCAGTAAAAACCCCAAGAGGAGAAAACAAAAGCCTTCCCTAGCCACTAAATCTTCAGTAATTTAATGTGGGTAAAGAATATAGCCTTCTTGGGGCTGGAGCAATAGCACAGCGGGTAGGGCTTCTGCCTTGCACGCGGCCGACCCGGGTTCGATCCCCAGCATCCTATATGGTCCCCATGGTCCCCTGAGCACCGCCAGGAGTAGTTCCTGAGTGCAGAGCCAGGAGTAACCCCTGTGCATCGCCGGGTGTGACCCAGAAAGAAAAAAAACACAATATAACCTTCTTTTGGGGTGGGGGGCATGCAGTTGGGGTCTCACCTAACTGAGCTCAGAGCTTACTCCTGATTCTGCGTTCAGGGCTCTCCTTGCTAGACAAGCACCCCACCCATTGTACTATCTCTCCAGCCCCAACCTACATTCTTTTAAAAACTTTTTCCATAATTCACAGATAGACTTCAATTATAAAGTAAAATACATTTTGAAATGTTAACTAGCTCCCCCCCTCCCACCTACTCCCCCCCTCCCCGGTTTTATTGCCCTCATGTGTCTGGGTTTCATTCCTGCTCGTACCTTTCCAACAACTTTTCATTGACTTGAAACTCAAGTTTTCCCCAGATGCTCTTATGTATTAAGAACAGGTTTTGTTTGTTTGTTTGTTTTTCCAGAGTGGCAAGCAAAAACTTAAAGGAGGGTGATCCAATGATGGGGCAGCAAGTGGCCAGGTACGTTAGCTTACATTTGTTGGATCATTTGGAAAATGCATCCCTGTACCCCCCCACCCCTCCTCCTGGGCTTGTCTCTGTACCTTTGTCCCTATATTTCCTTTCAGTCTGTGTACTTCACTCATCTCAGATCTCGGAAGTAACTTGGGAAAGTAGACCTCCTTCCTCATTAACTGGGATAGAGGAAGACTATAAAACTATTGTTATAATTTCAGTTTTATTTTGCTCTACTTACTTTTTCATGACCTCAAACTTAGACTTGTCCAATTCTTAATTACCTTTTGTTAGTTTGGGGGCGGGGGGGAGAGAAAGGGGCAGAAACTTACTCCTGCCCTGTTGGAGAACTGGATGGAATAGGGTCTGTGGGATGCAAGGCGTGTGCCTTAACCCCTGTGTGATCTTTCTAGACCAACTCACGATTATTTTTAAAAATCTAAATAAATTTAAACTTATATCTTTGATATTGAAAACTCCCTCATCACCTGAACCTTAGAGATGACTGTTGTTAATGTATCCTTAGCATAAATATTATTCGGTATACATACTAATACTTAATGGGATTAAATAATCTTCAGCAAATTGCTTTTTCTCACTTAATTATTACCAATGTCTTTTACTGACAGTATGTCAGTATACTGCCTGCCTTTTCAGGGATGCATCGTTACCTGCTATTCAATTAATCTAATCCTGACAAGAAGCTGTTTTTACTATAGTTATGTAAAAAGCAAGTATGCATCTGTATGCCTGTGTATTATTTGCTCATTAGGTAAATACTGATTGATAGTAAATAGGGCGTTCGCCTTACAAGCGGCCAACATGACTGACCCGAGTTCGATCCTCTGCCCCTCTCGGAGAGCCCGGCAAGCTACCGAGAGTATCTCGTCCGCAGGGCAGAGCCTGGCAAGCTCCCCGTGACGTATTCGATATGCCAGACACAGTAACAACAAAGTCTCCAATGGAGACGTTACTGGGCCTGCTCGAGCAAATCGACGATCAACGGGAGGGCCTTTACCTTTTTAGTAAATTTCCAAAAGTATAAACTCTAGGTCAAAGGAGATCTACATTTTTAATTTGAAAAGGTGAGGACAAATTTTCTTCAGAAAGTTTGAATCACCACTGCCAGTAATTGTATATTGAAGAAACTATCCTCTTAACAACATGTCTACTGACTACCAGTAGCAATTGGAGAAGACTATGTTACTATATAGTAACATTGTTGTTCATCGATTTCCTTGAAGGGGCCCAGTAACGTCTCCATTGCGAGATTTCTTGTTCCTGTGTTTGGCATATAACTACTACATCACACCAAGTTTAATTTGCATTTCTTTCGTTATTAGGGGTGCTGACATTCTTTTGTAAATTATTTCTTCTCTGTATCTGTTTATGTTATTTTCCCTTTCTTTTGGGTCTTTTAATCTTTCATATTGATTTGTAAAAGCTTCTTGTATCTTTGGGATATTAGCATGTAAATATTCAGCCTTTTTGTCTTTTGCTTTCTTCTGTGTTCATCATGTAAAATTTTTGTGAAAAATTATTCATACCTGGAATTAGAAGGCAGTTTTCCATACAGAGTAGCTAAGATATTTATTCATGTTTTCTTTTAGAATTTTTTTAAAAATTTTTATTAGTGAAACACCATGAGGTACAGTTGTAGACTTACAAAATTTTGTGCTTGGGTTTCAATTATACAACGATCAAGTACCCATCCCTCCACCAGTGCCCATTTCCCACCACCACGGATCCCAGTATTCCTCCCCCTCGCCCCCCATCCCCCCTGCCTCCGTGGCAGGGCATTCCCTTTTGTTCTTTTAGAATTTTTGTTTTGATTTTTGGGTCAGACCCAGTAAACCTCAGGGGTTACTCCTGACTCTGCACTCGGGAATTACTCCTGGTGGTGTATGTGGGGACCATATGGGATGCCGGGGATTGAACCTGGGTCAGATGGTGCAAGGCAAATGCCCTACCTGCTGTACTATCGCTCTGTCTTTTGGTACTATACTCTAAGATTTACATTTAAATCCTTAGTCATCCACTTCCTTTGGAATAAAGGGAAGTGCTTGCTTTTTGTCCAAGTGATAAGTCTAGTATGATAACATTTGTGAAAATCTTATTTCCATTTTTTGATTGTTTGGAGGCCACACCTGGTGGTTTTCAGGGGTAAAAAGCACCAGAGAAAAGCATCAGTATCCTAGAGACCAATGGGGTGAACCATAGCGTTGAATATAGCAGAGAGGTAAAGCTTTGTGAATAAACTTTGCTAGATGGGGTAGCTGTGACCCTGGTGGAGGAAGGGAGTGGAAGGCAGGGTGTAGCAGCTTATCACGTTTATGCAATGGGCCAGTGTGATAGTACAGCAAGTAGTGCTTGCATGTGGCCAACCCAGGTTCAGTCCCTTGTCCCCCAAGCACCACCAGAGCCAGGAGTAACACCCCAGCGATGCCGGGTGTGACTCAAAAGTCAAAAAAAAATAGTTTATGCAAAACAGAGACCTTTAGACATAATAGAAGGGTGAGGGAGAAGGGGGAGGAGAGTGTGAGAGGGCGGAGTTTAGCATATTTATATGCTCAAGGAACAATAGAAAGGAAGATGTTTGAAAGGCAAGAGAGGGGCCAGAGTGATAGAACAATGAGTAGAGTATTTCCTGACAAGTGGTTGACCAGGGTTCAGGTTGGATCCCCGGCGTCTGGTATGGTCCCCCTGAGCACTGCCAGGTGTAATTCCTGAGTGCAGAGTAAAGAGCATTGCTGGGTGTGGCCAAAAAATACTATAGCACTGTCCTCCCATTGTTCATCGATTTGCTGGAGCGGGCACCAGTAACGTCTCCATTGTGAGACTTCTTGTTACTGTTTTGGCATATCAAATACTCATGGGTAGCTTGCCAGGCTTTGCTGTGCAGGATACTCTCAGTAGCTTGCCGGGCTTTCCAAGAGGGGCGAAGGAATCAAACCCAGGTTGGCCATGTGCAAGGCAAACACCCTACCTGCTGTGCTATTGCTCCAGCCCAAAAAATAATAAAAAACAAAAATAGAGGTTGATTCTGAAGAAGAGACAAAGATGCTGAGGTGCTGTCAGAGACATCAGCCTCTTCTCTCCTCTGATTGAAAGAGGAGTGGAGGAGGATGGGAATCCACCCAAAACAGTTGGGAGCTCGTCTCCTACTCTCCCTGTTTTTCTCAAGGAGAAACTGCTGGCTAGGAATTCAATGAGGGATGTAGGTAAGGTATTCAACAATGGGATAGGGTCTCAGTGTCTTTTCATGCACGTTGACACACAACATACCAACTCCTTTGAAAAGGGAAAATGTTTGCTATGTCTTCATGTGTTTTATCTTTCAGAGTCCTGGAAAGTAAGAACTCCACCTTTCCAACTGGTACTATTGTTGTGGCTTCTTCCGGCTGGACAAGTCACTCCATTTCTGATGGGAAAAATCTGGAAAAAGTGACCGCAGACTGGCCAGAAAAGTTGCCACTATCTCTGACCCTGGGAACTGTGGGCATGACAGGGTGAGTTTCGGGAGTGGGTTTCACGTATTCCAATGCCTGACACTCTGGTTTTCCAAATGGGTTATCCAGAACTTGGTCAAACAAGAAGAGACCTGAGATGTTATAGGCTCAGGGGCTGATGAGAAAAGACGGTAGGACAAAAAGGAGAAGAAAGTGAAGCTAGAGTTAACCGTGGGAAACTAAGAGAAGGAAATAAAGAAAGAAAGAGAAGGAAAGATAGATCTGAGACCCTCAGGGAGGGTGAATGTGACAGTGAGAAGCCACAGTGGGTTGGGGGAGGTTATGGTGGAATGGTCCTTTTAGGTGGCTGACAAGTGGTGACAGGGAAGCCAGCAGCTACTCCTTGCCCTAGGAGTGCTGGCAGTCATAAAAGCCTCCAGTAGGGATTCTAATCTGCCCCTCTTGTGTCTACACTCTCCTGGTCCCAACTGCACTTTGATCTGCCAAAGGAACTTCATAACAGGAATCTTGTCAACTTGATGTTCATTTTAACATCCCCCACCCCCATTATTGTAGATGTTGTTGCAATGACCAGGGTTGCGCACACACACACCTGGCTATGTTGTTCAAACATTTAGTTCGCACATCACATGGGTTGTAAGTCTGGGAGTCACACTCCTAGTTGTGATGCTCAATCACCTTTTGGATGTAATACCTGCTGGGATTGGCGTGGTGCTCACACACATGTTTTACAGGGTTGCTCTCCCTGGCCATGATGTTTGCACATCTTTTTTGTTGCAATGTTTGCTGGGGGTCTCACCCCTTTGTTATGTGGTGCAGCTGGAGATGGCTTGGGCGGCCAGGGATCACCACCAGCAGAGCTGCCAGGATCATGCTCGGCAGATGTGGGGATTGAACATGTGATTTTATGCTTGCAACACCGGCATTTTAAGTCTTTGCGCTATTCCATGAGAGGAAGGTCATGTCTGGAAAGGCAAAGTTAAATCGATGCTTTTTTTTTTACCCTTTCCTTTTCTTTGTCTGTTTTGTGATTTCCCCCCTCCTTCCGGTCCTTCCGTCTTCTCATGCTTCCTTCTCTCCTTGCATCTTTCTTCCCATTCCCAACTCCTTTTTACCTTTTGAAGAATTCTAAAGAATTAAGTGGGAAGCTAGAGAGAAAAGCAGGTAAAGTGTTTGGCTTGTACATGGCCAATCTGGGTTTAATCCCTGGAACCACATCATGGTCTCCTGAGCACTGTTGCTTGAGTGCAGAGGCAGGAATATGCCTTGAACACTGGTGAGTGTTCCCCCATCCCCATATTTACTTTGGCAGGTTCTCTGAAGTCTTTTTTCTGATTTGCTGTTAATGGAGTCTCTCTAGGTAAACGGGGTATAACTTTGCCACCGAGTCATCCCCAGGAAACCTCATGTACATGCGTTTCATTCCTATTCATACTTTTTCAATGACTTTCATTGACTTGACACTCAAAATAGTTTTTCCCATATTCTCAGCCTAACTGGCTAATGAGTCAGTGCAAGAATCAACATTGGGGTCCCCAGGCCTCCAAAGCCCTGCTTGGGGGCATTCTCCCGTGGCCCCCAAAACAGTAAAAGGAGACAACTTGGACCTTGCTCATCATAGTCTCCCACCAGTCTCTTGCTCATCCTATTACTCTCCCCCATAGAATCCTTCCCACATCCTCTTCTATACTGGTGCTCCATCGAGCTATTTTGGACTCCTCCCCATCAACACTGCCTGAGCTGTGTTCTTGTTCTTTTCCAGCTGTTCTTCCTTGACTGGATAACTTCAATAACTCACTTGGGGTAGCACTGTAGCACTGTCCTCACATTGTTCATCGATTTGCTCGAGCAGGCCCAGTAACGTCTCCATTGTGAGACTTGTTGTTACCGTGTTTGGCATATTGAATACATCATGAGCATCTTGCCAGGCTCTGCCGTGTGGGCGAGATACTCTCGGTAGCTTGCCGGGTTCTCCGAGAGGGGCAGAGGAATCGAACTCTGGTCAGCCAAGTTGGCCACGTGCAAGGCAAACGCCCTACTGCTATGCTATTGCTCACTTGGGGTAGGGTGGGAATATTCTAGAAGCTCCTCCATAGCACTTTGGAGCCAGGGAAAACCTAGTGGGTTGCTCTCTGACCGTCTCATGCTGGGCACCATATACCATGGCATTCGTCACATGGGTCTTCCTCCATGAAGTACACAGCGCCTACACAGGAAGGAGGCCAAGTTCTTTATTTGTGGATCTCTAAAGTTTAAGGAGACTGATCTTCTTTTATGCCCGATACTTTTTTTTGTTTTATTTATTTATATGTTTATTTAGGCTTTTGGGGACACACCCAGTGATGCCCAGGGGTTATTTCTGACTCTGCACTCAGGAATTACTCCTGGCAGATGCTGGGGGATCATATGGGATGCCAACAATTGAGCCTGGGTCTGCTGAGTGCAAGGCAAATGCCCTACCCACTGTACTACTGCTTCGGCCCCAGGGCGCAGCTTTTTTTTACAGCCAACTCTCAACTCTTCCCTCCGTTTCCCCACCCCCATCATCTTCATTCTTGCGTGGGGATAGGGTAAAGGGAGGAATCAGACCACTAGTGACTAATAATATTTATTTATTTCATGTTTCACTTTCTTTATTTCTTTAGAGGGGCTGGGGATCACATTGGTGGTATTTGTGAGCTACTTCTGGCTTAGTACTCATGGGTCACTCCCAGCAGTACTTGGAGGAACATGCAGTGCCAGGATCAAACCTGGGATTCTGGCATGCAAGCATGTGAGCCAGTTTGAACTATCTCCCCGGCCCTGTTTCCTCTATTCCCATTTTATTTCCTGGACCTATGGCACTGGACTGCTGGGAAGGCCTTTAGATTATATGTGAATGAGTTCTAAGGGAAAGAAACAAAGTTTTGGGGCTGGAGCAATAGTACAGCGGGTAGGGCATTTGCCTTGCGCGCAGCCAACCTCGGTTTGATCCCCGGCATCCCACATCCCATATGGTCCCCCAAGCACCGCCAGGGGTAATTTCCTGAGTGCATGAGCCAGAAGTAATCCCTGTGCATCGCAGGGTATGACCCAAAAAGCAAAAACAAAACCAAAAATAAACATTCTCCACATGTCCTTAATCTTCTGCCTTCAGCCTAACAGCTTACTTTGGCCTTCTTGACATCTGTGGTGCCAAGAGTGGACAGACGGTGTTGGTGAACGCGGCTGCGGGAGCAGTGGGCTCCGTTGTGGGCCAAATAGCAAAACTCAAGGTAAGCGTCACCCTCCATGCAAACTACTTGATTGTGCTCTGTAACTTAGGATAGTGACCCGAGTGCTTTCTTATTGTGAAATCTCTCTCCTTCTTGATGATTCTTGATGATAGGAAGACGGAGTCAAGATCAGTCAACCAAGAGTCCTTGTCCTCAGGACCTCACGACAGTCAGTGCAGGGCAGTGGGGCTGTGGCTGGAGAACTAACTCGTGGGTGGGCCTCAGAGCACGGAAGATTTTGATTCTGACTTGAGCAAGTGTCTGTGTCTGAGATATCTGATGCACTGCTGGGGGTACATGACAGCAGTCCACTGAGATGCAATGAGGATGTATCCCACAGTGGCACTATTCCAAGGAGGTCTAGCGTGGCTCATGCTTTCCCAGAGGTTAGGACGTAGGAGTAGGACGTAGTCCCTAGAGAAGGAGTTATGTAGAATACAAAGAAATACAGGGGTACGACCCCATAGTCTGCGATGGGCTGGTCTCCAATGCTAACGAGAGTTTAGAATACTAATAAGCATTAGAGGTACCTTAAAGGTTGCAGGAAGAATTTAAGTAAGTAATTAAATAAATAGAAATGGATGTTGATTTGTTTTGTTTTGGGGATCACATCTGGGAGTGCTGAGGGGATCTTCCTGGCTCAGTGTTTGGGGGTCATTTGCAGCAGAATACCCTGTGGTGGCGCCAGGGATCAAACCCGGGGTTCCTGCAGACAAAGCCTTCACTTCAACATTTGAGCCATATTCTTAGCCCCTAGATGTTGAATTTAATCAAATACCATATCAGGACACATCAAGTTAACATTTTGGTGACTGAATTACATTGATTTCCCAATTTTAACCATTCTAGCCTTCCCGGAATAAGCTTTTTTGACCTGTGTTGTTCTGTCATGTATAACTTTGAATGTAATAATATTTTAAATAGGATTTTTGTACCCCATGATTTTTATTTTGTTTGAGGGACCACGCCTGGCAGTACTCAGTGATGTAGTGCTCAGGGACTGATCCTGGAGATGCGCGGGGAGGAAGGGTTTTGGAGATTAGCACCTCCCGCATGCAAAGCCTATCTCTAGCCCTTTGGGCCAGCTCCCTGGCCCCTGTATTAATAGTTATGAGGAAACTTGATTTAAAAACTTCTGTTCCTAATTTTTAAGGTGTTAGCTCTGGGTTATACTAAGAAGATAAATGAGTAATATTTCCAATCCTCAAATTCAAGTGTCTTAATAAAATTATAAGTTAATAAAACTGTTATTGCAGCAGTGACCAGGGTCACATCCTTGGCTGAGGAATGCTGGATATCACACACTTCATTACGGTGCCAGGGATCAGACTTGGCAACGTGGAGCTCGGCGGTGTATCAAAGTCATGGCCTGACGTAGGCAGATCGGGTGCTCTATTACTGGGCCACATCCCACAACCACAGAGCTGTAAAGGAATTTAATTCCAAACATTTTAGAGGATTAGGGCTGGAGCAGTAGCAGAGTAGGTAGGATGTTTTTGACTTGTCTGAGGCCAACTCAAATTCGACGTCTGGCACCCCGAATGGTCCCTTGAGCACCACCAGGAGTGATCCCTGAGCAGAGTCAGAAGCAAGCCCTAAGTACCACTGGGTGTGCCCCCACCCCCCACAAAAAATAAAATTCTGGAGAGATAGTACAGCAGGTAGGACACTTGTCTTACATGGCCAACATGGATTTAATTTCCAGAACCACACATGGTTCCCATGCACTGATCATGGTCACGGTCCTCCCATTGTTCATCGATTTGCTCTAGCGGGCCCAGTAACGTCTCCATCGTGAGACTTGTTGTTACTGTGTCTGGCATATCGAATACTCTCGGTAGCTTGCCGGGCTCTCCGGGAGGGGCGGAGGAATCGAACTCGGGTCGGCCATGTTGGCTGCTTGTAAGGCAAATGCCCTACCGCTGTGCTATTGCTCCAGCCCTCCCATGCACTATCAGGAGTAATTCCTCCTGAGTAATGCCTGAGCATCACTGGGTGTGCCGCCCCAAAAAAACATTTTAGAGGATTAACTCATACATCTGTTATTATTATCTACTGGAGGCTTTCTGTTACATCTGTGTAATCATTAAATGACTAATATGATTAATTCTCCATTTTAGAGAACTTACACTGACCTTGGTAGGATCAAAGTTCATAGGGACAAAATATTAGGGACAAAAAGTCTTATTAGGAGGCTCCTTGAATAATTCAGAGGAGAATCATCATGTCTGAGCAGTGGAGATTAGAGTTTGAGGTAGGTTTTAAAGATGTGAGCCTTAGGAGAAAAACAGGGGCTATAGTTAATAGATGAGGGAGCCATCTACATGAAAGATGCAGAGGTTTCCTAAGAATAAATGAGATACTCCTATGAGACAATACAAAAAGGTTAGAAGTGAAAAGGATGGCGAATGGAGTTTTTACAAGACAAATTTTCTTTGACAAAATGGAAATGTGGTTCAACGGTAGAATGCCTGCCTCTCTATCCAAGACAAGGGTTCTGTTCCCCGACACACCACACACACACACACACACACACACACACACACACACACACACTGTGGCAGTCATTGTACAAGTGCATATAGAAACACAAAGGTCTTTCTTTTTCCCTAATGAAAGTAAACTGGCTTTTTTTTTTTTTTTGGTCACATCCGGCAATGGCCAGAGGTTATTCCTGGTTTATGCACTCAGGAATTACTCCTAATACTCCTGGCGGTGCTCGGGGGACCATATAGGATGCGAACCTGGGTTAGCCATGTGAAGGCAAACGCCCTTCCCTCTGTGCTATCGCTCCAGCCCCCTAAACAGTGGCTTTTATTTTGGTCTACATGATCCCTACAGATCTAAGAACTTTCTGAAAAGTTACTTCTATGTAGCAATACTGGAAGTACTTCAGTTCCTATGGTCAGGCAACAAACATCTATCTAATCCAGTGCTTTGGTCCAAACCAAAAATAAAGTGGTAGTTATCAGGTGGCCTAAGGTAGAAAAATCTCAGAATAGAAATTTTGAACTAAAATAAATGTGCCAAGAGGTAGCAGGCAAGTCAGTGCACAAGAAGAGAAGTCCACAAACCAGAGTTAACTGACCAGGTTATTAAGCCAGGTTGTTTTACGGGCTGTAAATCAAACAAACATAGCAGGAACCTGCTGGGTAGTCAGAAGCAAAATAAAATTATGGGTGGGTTGGTGGCTTAAAACTGGCTTCTGTTTCTCTTCTCATTTAGGGTTGCAAGGTTGTTGGAGCGGCAGGATCTGATGAAAAGGTTGCCTATCTTAAAAAGCTTGGATTTGATGTTGCCTTTAACTATAAGACAGTAGGATCTTTGGCAGAAACTTTGAAGAAGGCCTCTCCTGATGGTTATGATTGTTATTTTGACAATGTAAGTACAATTTGGACATAATATTTGATTTCCTATCAAAATATAATAGAAGGGGATATACTTCTCAAGTTTCCATTTAAAACACATAAAGTGCCTTTTTAATTGAGTTATAATGTACTAATTAAAGAATAGAAACCCATGGTTTTTAGAATATTCCCAGAATGATTTAATGATCATCACAGTAAATTTTAGAACAGTATTTTCCAGCAAGGGGGCCAGGTGATCTTTGTGAGCCCCAAGATATCCCAAGGAGGCCACAAGAGAAAATAGCTTAAAGTTGGGGGCTGGGCGGGGGAGAGAAGCTCATCACAAGACTCCGGGGCCAATCAGTAAGTGGGAGGAGTGTACAGGAAGGAAAACGAAGGGAGAAGAGTCAGGAAAAGGTTGGTAAATGCTACTTTAGAACCTTTTTGTCCCTGTCCACACCACATCCCCCCAAATATACATTTATATGTCTACTATATTCACTAGCAGTCATTCCCCATGCCCCCCAAAATGATCTTTGGTGACTGATTTTTCACACTTAGCTTATTTTCAAGATTCATCCAGGCGTAGCATATTTCATTCCTTCATTCTTTCTTATGGCCAAATAATATTCCCTTATAAAGTAATGTTATGTCTTATTAACCCATTCATTAGTTGATGAACATTTGTGTCACTTTAGCTTTTTTGAGGGGGATGGAATTTTGTCTAATGTTGCTATGAACATTCATGGACCAGGTTTTGTGTGGATATATGTTTTCATTTCTCTTGGGTAATGAAAAGTAGATTAGTGGGACATATGGAACTCTATGCTTAATATTTTGAGAAACTGTTCAACAATTTTGCAAGCTTGGGTAGATAATAAATGTGGAATCCATTAATAATGATGATCAACTATGTAGGGTTTGCAATACTCCTTTTCCACAGTGGTCTTTTATTTTCTCAATAGTGTCCTTTGAAACACAAAAGTTTACATTTCGCTGGAGTTCAATTTCTTTATTTATTTTTGTGGCCTGGGCTTTTGATGTCACATCTAAACCTCTGCCTTATCTAAGGTCACAAAATTTGTTGTTATTGTTGTTGTATGCTTTTTGAGACACACTGGCAATGCTCAGGGGTTACTCCTGGTTCTGCACTCAGGAATTACTCCTGGCTATGTTTGGGGGACCATGTAGGATGCCAGGGTCGAACCTGGGGTGGCCACGTACAAAGTATATGTCCTCCCTGATGTCCTGTCGCTCCAGCCCCAGGTCACAAAGATTTATGCCAATATTTTCTTCTAAGAATTGCAACTTTTTTTTCCTTTTTAAATTTTTATTAGTGAAAAACTATGAGGTACAGTTGTAGACTTACAAATTTTTGTGCTTGGGTTTCAGTTATACAATGAGTGTAACTGTACCATCCCTCCACCAGTGCCCATTCTCCACCACCACTGATCCCAGTACCCCTCCCCCCAACCCACACCCACCCTGCCTCTGTGGCAGGGCATTCCATTTTGTTCTGTCTCTCCTTTTGGGTGCTGTGGTTAAGAATTGCAACTTTTAGCTCTTACATTTAGGTCTGTTATGTGTTTCAAGTTAATTCTTTTTTTTTTCTTTTTGGGTCACACCCAGCTGATGCTCAGGGATTACTCCTGGCCCTGCACTCAGGAATCACTCCTGGCGGTGCTCAGGGGACCATATGGGATGCTGGGAATCGAACCTGGGTTGGCCGCGTGCAAGGCAAACGCCCTCCCCGCTGTGCTCTCGCTCCAGCCCCTCAAGTTAATTCTTATGCCTTGTAAAAGGGAGGAATCCTATTTCATTCTTTCTGGGGAGAGTGGAGGCTGATACTTTGCCAACCAGGGTGGCAGTTCAGTGTTAGGGACTGAGGACATGATGTTACTCAGACCCCTGGGGTGCCAGTGACCACCCGAACCATCCCAGCACTGCTCAGAGTTCTTCAGAGCTACATTCAGTGCTGGGGAGGCCCACGTGGGGGTTGGGGATTGAAACCAAGTCAAACGGAACTTGTGTGCTCCCAATCCCTGTACTATATTTCTGGAACCTCCAATTTAATTCTTATCCATGAAATATCCAATTGTTTTCTATCTTTTATTTTAAAAGACTACATTTCCCCCATCAAATTGTTTTGATTGTTGAAAGTCAATTACCCGTAAAGTGAAAATTCCTTTTTTGAACTATCAGTTTAGTCCTGTTGATTTATAATTCTGTCTTATGCTGTCCTGATTAATATAACTTTGTAACATTGTAACATATTATAAAATCAGGAAATGTGGGTTCTCCAACTCTGGTTTGCTACTTGCCTTTTGGGTATTTTAACACATACTTTTAGATATGGCACAGAGAATGCTGAACTGAGAAATTCAAAATATAATAAATGGAAAAGCCCACTCTATAATCTTTTTCCAGCTTCAGTTTCCTGCAGGAGTATCTAAGTCAGTCAGTTTCCATAGCTGCTGACCTGACTTTTATTGAAATGGTAACTGTGATTTAATGATTTTCCTGACTCTCCTAGTATGATTAATTTAAGGTTTGTTTGGTTTTTGTCCTGTCTAGGTAGGTGGAGAGTTTTCAAATGTTGTTATTCCCCAGATGAAGGTATTTGGAAGAATTGCTATATGTGGGGCCATCTCTACATATAATCGCACCAGTCAGCCTCCTCCAGGTAAAGAATTCACACATGATTACATTTGTAAGAATTCTGAACAAAAGGAAAATTTATAGATCATGTTGGTATAGGTCAGTGACAATGATGATGACAACAACAAAGCAGGAGGACGAAGAGGAAGAGGAGGAGAATGAGGAAGGGAATGGAGGAGAAAGACTGAGGATACAGCTCAATTTGTTGGTTGTGGGTTCAATACCCAGCACCATTGAGCACTACCAGGAATAGCACTGGTGTCGCCCCCCACTTCTGAGAGTGGTCTGGGGCCCTCCAAGTACCACTGAGTGTAAACCCTACAAGAACATTTTAGAAAGATTTCCAGATATTCTTTTTTTAAACTTTATTTAAACATCCTGATTTACAAAGTTGTTCATAATCCAGCTGTTTCAGGTATTCAATATTCTAACACCAATCCCACCATCAGAAGGTTAAATAAGTGACCTTCCCTCCACCATCGTCCCCACCTATCCCCAAGCCTGTCCCCTAGGCAGGCACAAAATTGTTTAGTTTTTATTGCTTGTTATAACATGCACTAAAAATTTACTCTTATATTAATAATTCCTCTTGTCGTGGGGGTTGTTGCTTAGATGCATGGGATGGCACATGCATGCTGGCTCTCTGAGGTTGCACATGCATGCTGGCTCTCTGAGGTGACACAGGTGCTGGCTCTCTGAGGCTGCACACGCATGCTGGTTCTCTGAGGTTGCACACGCATGCTGGCTCTCTGAGGTTACACAGCTACTAGCTCTTTGAGATCAGATATTCTTGATGAAATATTTATTTTAAAAAATAAAAAATAAATTAAAAAATATAATTTGGGGGGCTGGAGCTATAGCACAGCAGGTAGGGTGTTTGCCTTGCACGCGGCCAACCTGGGTCAATTCCCAGCATCTCATATGGTCCCCCGAGCATCGCCAGGAGTAACTCCTGAGTGCAGAAGCCAGGAGTAACCCCTGTGCATCACCGGGTGTGACCCAAAAAGCAAAAATAATAATAATAATAATTGTTTGTATACATTAAATCAGCTAATAATAGATTTTGTTAAAAACATAACAAAATCTAAAAACATGTAAAATATCTTTATAATTATTAAAAATTGTAGATTTGGGGGTAGGTTTTGTACTACACCCGGTTATACTCAGGCCTTGTCCAAGTTTCCTTATCCAAGTGCTCAGGAATCACTCCTGGTGGTGCTCAGGAACCATATGCGATGCCGAAGATCAAACCAGGGTATGCTGCTTGCAAGGCGAGGGCCTAAAACCCCATACCAGCTCTCCAATTCTAAAACTTTTAGGTTTCTACTCATTTTTCTGCAAAACTGTATAAAAAAAGATAACCACCATTTGATTTAGAAACATTTTGATACAGCTCACAGACTACTAGGAATCTTATGGATATTGTGGGAGGTGTAGAGATGGGTGGAGAGTGACTGGATGTGGGTAATGGGGAGAGCAGGCTGTCATCTACATACACTTATGGGCACGGCTTTCTAGAACTGCAGGGCATCCTGGCCTCACCAAACAGACATTTCCACTGCATCCTGCCAGGCCAGTTCAATTCGATAGTCAAATATTTTAATAAGTAATTCAATGTCGGCTTTTTAGCCTCACCAAACAGACATTTCCACTGCATCCTGCCAGGCCCTCCATTCTCCACCATTGTATCTTGTGTCGAGATACCCCCTCCCACCACCTCTCTTCCCTGATTGGTCCATGAACTACGTTATCTCAGTCTTCTCAGAGATGTTGTAGTGCTCTCTGGTTTGACAGACAAGGGGACAAATAGTTCTGAGAACAAAAGATCTTTGAAATCTATTCTCAGCAGACTTAACAGAAAGACAGGCCCCTGAACACTCTGGCCCGAGTCCTTCTGTGCTGATGCTGAATTATAGATTCATTGGTGGTCCCCAAAAGAAGACAAAAAGGAATATTCTAGATTATTGCTAGGCTCAAGGTAACTATAAGTGAATTGGTTATTTACTCAAAATGAGCTTGATATGGAATAGTGGTAGGGCACGTCCATGGCATGTGTGAGGCCTTGGGTTAGATCCTCATCAGCGCAAATAAATAAAGAGGCTTGACTCATCAGATGAAATCTTATAATCCTACTAGTTACAAGACCACAACTGCAGTGAGACAGGTGGGCACGAATGGAAGGAGCTAAGGAGAGTCAACTTATAGATTTCCTCTTGGGCTGTGAAAACCTAGAACACTGCCTTCTCTCAGAAGGAAATTCCAGGTTCATTTGGCAATTTTATTACTAGGGAAATTCCCCCTGTATTTTCCCAGTTGATCACCGGGAAATCCTCTACTTGCCAATGGAGCAAAGCCCCAAGAGGCATTTTCTTGACCACAGTTCAATTCGATAGTCAAATATTTTAATAAGTAATTCAATGTCGGCTTTTTAGCAGTCCTTGGAAGTTCAGCTGCTCAGATAGGTATGACTGATGTCAGCTGGTCTTGTCCATTCCATTTCAGTTGGATGAAATTTCTGCCTTGCCTCTGTCTCTAGGAATTCCAACATATTTCATTGTTAGGAAAACCCAGAAACTAGTAATTAATTTCCCTGACTTAAAATGCTATCAGTAAAGAAACTCAAATTCCTATCAGGGTAGATAAACCCAGAAATTTCCTAATTTCCTTCCCCCCTTCCTTTTATTTTTATGCCACACAAGACTGTGCTCAGGTCCTACTCCTGGCTCTGTGCTCAGGGCTTACCCCTGAGTCTGTGCTGAGGGATCACTCCTGGTGGGAAATGGGGAACAATATGCCATGCTAGGAGTCAAACGTTTGTCAGTTGTGTGCAAAACAAGCACTTTTCCCATTCATTATTCCTCTGGTCCAGAAATATCTTTTCCTCTTTCCAAGATGAGAAAATAAGGACTCCAACCCCAAAGTCAACAGTTTTACTTTCATTTTTCTGACAAAGCAGTGTCTGTGCAAGATAGAGCTGGCCTTCGGATCTCTTGTTCATCTCCCAGCAATAGCTTTTGGTTCAGAATAAAGTTTGGACTTGTCAACATTACTTTCTCCTTAGCAGTGCAAACTTCAGCCTCACATGATGCCGGTTACCAAGAAAACGGAAAGATTCAGCCATGTACCTGGCTCTTCTGACCCAATTTCCCCCCACAGGTGTCTGTCTACCTCACTTCTGGGAATTCATGACCTTGAGTTCTGGGAACTCATGACCCTGAGCACAAGATCATGCTCAGGGTCATTCTCTTGGTTTCTGATCACCTAGAGTCTGCTGGAAAATAAATCAGCCAACTAATACCCCTCTTTTTTCTCCCCCACCAAAGAGAATAGGCCACAAGGTAGCCCTGTGCTTTTTTCCAGGCTGTTGGTTCCCAAAGTGTGGGTCCAAGACCAATAGAATCACATTCTCCTGGGAACCTGTCACAAATACAAATCCCTGCACATGCTCCTTATCCACAGTCAGAGACTAGGAGAGAGGCCCAGAAATTTCTTTTGCGAAGTCTTTTCTGTGATTTCCATAAGTACCAACAAGTGGGATCCTGAAATGATGAGGCCTAAAGCAGAGATGGGTATTGCCGAGACTCCTGATCTCGTCCCTCTTGTCTCTTCAGCCAGGGATGGATGCCAGTAGCTTTGCATCTCCTCTAACCACTGAGGAGAAGGAGCTGGTTTATACCATAGAATGAAGAACTTGGTACCAACAGGTATATGTTCTTGAGGACTGCAGTAATGTTTTCCTATGTTATCTAAAGGTTCCCTTCTGTTTCATAGAACCGTTTGGGAATTTGGGGCGGCCCTTGCTTCTAGCACATGAGGGATAAACATTTCCTAGATGCCTGGCTTGTACAGGAACTCAGAATATGGATGAGTTTTCTGTAATGATTTAGAACAAATTGTCAAAAACTTCGTGGCTTAACACCACACAAATGTACTGTTACAGTTCTGGAGGTCAAAAATCTAAAATGTCAGCATTCTTTCTCAAGGCTTAAGAGGAGAATGTTTTTTTCCCATCTTTTCTAGATTATGGCTTTTGGCTTCTATAGTCCAAGCTAAGAGCTTGACTGAAGAGGTTGCCTGTGGTTCTTGGTTAATAATATCTTCCTCAGGGCTGGAGCGATAGCACAGCGGGTAGGATGTTTGCCTTGCACACGGCTGACCCGGGTTCGATTCCCAGCATCCCATATGGTCCCCTGAGCACCACCAGGAGTGATTCCTGAGTGCATGAGCCAGGAGTAACCCCTGTGCATCGCTGGGTGTGACCCCCCCAAAAAAAGATATCTTCCTCTATTGTCAAAATCATCTGTATAGACTCTCTCCCTCTCCTTTTTTTCCCCTCTCCCCTTCCCTCCCTCTCTCTCTTTCTTACCCTCTCTCTCCTCTCCATTCTGCTTCCATCATCAATTTTTTTTTCTGACTGACTTCTGCCTTCCTCTTTCCCCTGTACTGAAGCATATGAGTTCACTGGGCCCACCTAAGTTATAGAGAGTAATCTTACATTTGGATTGTTAATCATATTTGCAAAGTTCCCTTTGCTATGTAATGTGGCACAGTCACAGGCTCTGGAATTAGGATGCAGACCCCTGTAGGGTCCTATTCTGGGAATGCAAGCTAACTTGTGAGCAAGGCTGAAGATCAGAGCACATGACACACAGTGGAAGGAGCGGCCGGGAAGAACAGTGATGAGATTTAGACCGCTTATGTTTGCAGCACAACCTACCCCTGGAACCTGTGGCCCAAATGTGTCCTTCTCTTCACAGGTCCACCCCCAGAGGCCATTATCTATCGGCAGCTCCGCATGGAAGGGTTCATCGTCACTCGCTGGCAAGGAGAGGTTCGCCAGAAGGCTCTGCAAGACCTGCTGACATGGGTCTCTGAGGTAAGGTGCTCCAGAACTGCTCCCTTTGACCACACATGAGCTCCTGTTCCCTTTGCTGCTGCCCACTCATTTTCACTGCAGATGAAGGCCCCTCTCACTGCTCTCCATTGCAAAACAAAAATACCCGGAAGTGATGTCTGCTAGACTCATTGTCCTGCGGTTCCTTTGCCTTTTTCTTTTTTCTTTTCATTTTTTTTTAATTGAATCACCATGAGATAGTTACAAAGCTTTCATGTTTGAGTTTCAGTTATACAATGATCAAACACCCATCTCTCCACCAGTGCAGTTTCTACCACCAATGTCCCCAGTATCCCTCCCCCCCATTCCACCCCTCCCCCTGCCTCTATGGCAGACAATTTCCCCCAAACTCACTCTCTACTTTTGAGCATTATGCTTTGCAATACAGATACTGAGAGGTTACCTCGTTTGGTCCTTTATCTACTTTCAGCACACATCACCCATCCTGAACAATTCCTCCAACCATCATTGACTTAGTGATCCCTTCTCTATTTCAGCTGCCTTCTCCCCAGCTCATAAAGCAGGCTTCCAACTATGAAGCAATATTCCTGGCCCTTGTCTTTACTGTCCTTGAGTGTCAGTCTCATATTATGTTATTTTATATTCCACAAATGAGTTCAGTCATTCTATGTCTGTCCCTCTCTTTCTGACTCATTTCACTTAGCGATACTCTCCATGACCATCCACTTATAACAGAATTCATGGCTTCATATTTCCTAACAGCGGCATAGTATTGCATTGTGTACCAGTTTCTTTAACCAGTTGTCTCTTCTTGGGCAATCGAGTTGTTTCCAGATTCTGGCTATTGTGAACAGTGCCTCAGTGAACATACAGATGCAGATGTCATTTCTACTGTGCTTTTTTGCACCCTCAGGATATATTCCCAGAAGTGAAATTGCTGGGTAACATGGAAGCACCAATAACTAGTTTTTTAAGGAGTGCCTATATTGTTTTCCAGAAAGGCTGAACCAGTTGGCATTCCCAACAACAATGAAAGAGTCCCTTTTCCCCTGCATCTTCACCAGCACTGATTGTTCTTGTTCTTTTTGATATGTGCCAATCTCTGTGGTGTGAGATAATATCTCCCTGTTGTTTTGATTTGCATCTCCCTGATGATAAATGATGTAGAGCATTTTTTCATGTGCCTTTTGGCTATGTGTATTTCATTTTTGGGGAAACTTCTGTTTACCTCTTATCCCCATTTTATGATGTGGTTGGAGGTATTTTTCTCGTACAGTTCTACTAGTGTCTTGTATATCCTGGATAGTAACCCCTTATTAGATGGGTATTGGGTAAATATTTTTTCCCATTCCGTGGGCACTCTCTGGATTTTGGTCACTGTTTGTTTTGAGGTGCAGAAACTTCTTAGTTCAATGTAGTCCCATTTGTTTGTTTGTCTTAACTTGCTTGATCAGTGGTGCTTCATCGTTAAAGATGCTTTTAGCTTCAATGTCATGGATGGTTCTGACTACATTTTCCTCCATGTACCTATGATATTGAGGCTTTAATCCACTTTGATCTGACTTTTGTGCCTGGCATTAAACAGAGGTCAGATCTCATTTTTTTGGCAGGTAGCTGTCCAGTTTCCCCAGGACTCTTGTTGAAGAGCCTTTCCATGTTCCATGCTCCTTTCATTTCATTTTTCATTTCATCATCCTGTTAATCGTCGATTGCCTCTAGCAGGCCCCAGTAACGTCTCTTTCATCCTAGCCCTGAGATTATATTCACGGCTCTTTAGGAGAATGAGACCCATCATTGTTACTGGTATTTGGCATATTTGGTAGGCCACGGGGAGTTTGCCAGACTCTGCCCTGTGGGCAGGCTACATTCGATAGCCTGCAAGTTTGTCCAAAGTAGGAATGAGGTAATAAGATGTCGCGGCCGCGCGGTTCCGGGATCTGGATTTTATAGTCTCTGAGTCTTGGCCGCTGATGGGATTACATGGCGTCAGGGGGCCAGGTGGTGGGTGTGACCCCCGCCTACTGGAATTTGGAGGATGTGGGTGGAAGATGCTCGACTCCAATTCGAGTAGGCGTGGAGGTCTCGGCCCCGGAACCCGCGTGGCTGTGTCCCTCTGCCAGTACCTTCATGGGTGCGGAGAGTGGTCCGCACGCCTACTCGAATTGGAGTCGAGCATCTTCCACCCAGATCCTCCAAATTCCAGTAGGCGGGGGTCACACCCACCACCTGGCCCCCTGGCGCCGTGTAATCCCATCAGCGGCCAAGACTCAGAGACTATAAAATCCAGATCCCGGACGAGAGCAGTGCAGTCTCTGCCCCCGCGCCTGGGTGTTCCTTCCCGGAGTCCCTTGGAGGGGAGCGGGTTGAGCTTTCCTCCCCGCCCCGACCAGGGCTACGGCAGCCGAAGACCTCCAGGACCAGCCACCACCATGCTGAGACCACTCTCCGCACCCATGCTCCTTTATCAAAGATTAAGTGATAATATATTTGTGAGTCTGTGACAGAATATTCAACTCTGTTCCATTGGTCTGTGGGTCTTTTTCCAATCCAGTACCATGCTGTTTTAATTACTACTGCTTTGTAGTACAGTTTGAAGTTGGGGAAGGTAATGCCACTCATCTTATTTTTCCCAAGGATTGCTTTAGCAATTTGTCTTTGCCTTTTTCTTAAACCTGCATGGGCTTTTGCACAGTCCACTCCATCGAAATTTGTTCTATCAGAATTGCTTCTGATTCCCTTTCCATGTGAACTTCTGACAGCTGATCCTTGGCTTCCCTTGGCCCAGGACCTCAGACATGCAGGGCAAGTGCTTTGCTACTGCGCCACATCCCCAACCCTCTATCTCTATTTCTAATGAGTGAGGAAATTCTGCTTGGGAATTTTGGTCATTAAAATACATACAGAGGGTCAGAAATTGCACAGCAAGTCAAGTGCTTGCTTGCCTTGCAGTCAGCCAATGCAAGTGTGATTCCAAGCATTGCATACGGTCCCCCGAGTCCTGCCCAGAATGATCTCTGAGCACAGAACCAGGAATAAGTCCTGAGCAGCACTGCCATGTGTAGCCCCCAAACAAAAAATTAATTAAAAAATAATATATAATAAATAAAATACACACAATGAATTTGAAAAGTAATATCTATCTAGTTTGATTGCTGCAGTAGGCTTTATTTAGTCTCCCACCTGTGTGCTCCCGCAGTTCATCCCCTAAGAAACTACGAGTGCTTTTTTTTTTTTTTCTTTTTGGGTCACACCCAGCAATGCACAGGGGTTACTCCTGGCTTTTCACTCAGGAATTACTGCTGGCAGTGATGGAATGCTGGGAATCGAACCCAGGTCAGCTGCATGCAAGGCAAACGCCCTACCTGCTGTACTAGTACTCCTGTCTCTGTGAGTGCTTTTAAAGCAGAAACTAACCCATGTTATTCTTCTGTACAGAATGTATCATTTCAGGGCCAGAGAGATAGTATGGCGAGTTCAATCCCTGGCACCCTTATGCCCTCCTTCCCCTGCCTCCCACCCTGCACTGCCAGTAGTGAGTAGTGATTCCTGAGCACAGAGCCAAGAGTAAGCCCTGAGCAAATCTGGGTGTGGCCCCCAACCCCCACCCCAACACACACACACACACACACACACACACAAAACTTCCATTTCACTTGAAATAAGTAAAAGTTTATAATAACCTACAAATATGCCCACCCACTTCCTTACCTCTGGAATTTCATTCCCTGCACACTCTGCCCATTCACTCCCCTTACCTCTTCACTCCTTTGTTGCTGCTTGCTTAAGTCTTTCGAGTGATGCAACTTTTTCCAGTGACCCTATTTTAAATTGCAATCCTTCTGTATTCTTCATCCTCCTTATCTTACTTCCATTTGTGTTATCATCTTCTCTTGCATACCACAGATCATATTGCCCACTTCTCTCCCATGTGCATGTCACGTCCAGCGATAGTCATTCAATTGTCATGAAATATCAGTGGTCTGATATTTCCCAGCACCCAGAGGAGTGTTCTAAATAACGTAGGCACTAGATGAGTACTGCTTGGTGTTTTGGTTTTGCTTCTCCGTTTGTTGGACCACACCCAGGTGTACTCAGGAGCTATTGACTCTTGGTGTAACTCTTGGTCGTGCTCAAGGGACCATATTCGGGGATCAAACCAGGTCGGCCACATGTAAGATAAGTGTCTTGCTTCCTGTTCTATCTCTGACCCCTAGATGAATATTGTTAATTAAATGCACATTAAAGAGGGCATATGTTTGTGTCATGGCTTTTCTAGGTTCTAGATTAGAAAAAGCCTCTGTGGCCAATGCTGTTGGATCCAAAGGATCCAAAGGAAGAAGCCAGATCCTTTACCTTGATCATGTCCCATTTTTCTCCAAGAGTTGACTTCAGATGTCAACAGACATCTGAAGAATCAAGGTGTAGTGTTTTAACTTCAGAGGGGAGAAGTGGTGACCCACTGCCTAAATCCTGCACGTAGGATCATTTTTTAACTCAAATAAATAGAGTGACCTGGGTCTGGAGGGATAGTAGAGCAGATTGACTTGCACACATCTGACCCAGGTTCCATCCCTGGTACCCCATATGGACTCCTCAGCCCCTCCAGGAGTGATCCCTGTGTGCAGATCCAGGAGTAAATCCTGAGCACAGCTGGGTATGGCCCCAGACAAAAATAAATAGGATAATTTTAGATTCACAGATAGCACAGTGATAGCACAGCGGGTAGGGCGTTCGCCTTACAAGCGGCCAACATGGCCGACCCGAGTTCGATTCCTCCGCCCCTCTCGGAGAGCCCGGCAAGCTACCGAGAGTATTCGATATGCCAGACACAGTAACAACAAAGGCTCCAATGGAGACCAAGATAGTATAGCAATTTTCTATACCTCTTTATTGTATATTCTAACGTCCCCTATTGCATATTAACATTCAGTTAATACTTTTAACCTTTAAACTAGAGCATAGCTTTAAATCCTTTCTAGTGGCTGGCACAATAGCACAGTGGGTAGGGCATTTGCCTTGCATGCGTCCGACCCAGGTTCGATTCCCAGCATCCCATATGGTCCCCCAAGCACGCCAGGAGTAATTTCTGAGTGCAGAGCCAGGAGTAACCCCTGAGCATTGCTGGGTGTGATCCAAAAAGCAAAAATAAATAAATAAATCCTTTCTAGTTCTTTGTACCTCTTCAAGATCAAAAATTAACTGGTGCTCTCTGGCCAAAGGTTTATCTCTAGTTTTGTTTTAAAAGGTGCTCAGGGTCAGACTCATAGCCTATGCTTTTCGTCTGACCCACGCCCCTGGCCTACTCAATAATGTATTTGCTTTGTTTGGTTTGTTTTGGTTTGTTTTGGTTTGGGGGCCACACCTGGTAGTGCTCTGAGATTACTCCTGGCTCTGCTCTTGGGAATCACTCTTGGTGAGCCAGGGGAGACCATGTAGGATGCCAGGCATTGCCCTGGCTTCACCTAGTCAAGAACTTAAAACCAAGCTTCCCTACTTAACAAATGAATGAAAACATGCAAGCAGTCCCTCCATGAATCTAGAAAGTGTCACCAACCATCACCAGATTTATATCAGGAAATAAATTGTATCAGTGAACTCAGCTCCACATAAGACCTCTTTTGGGAGGCTGTGCTCAAGGCTTCCTTCTGGAACTATGCTCAGGTATCATTCCTGGGAGTAGTAGGGGAACATATGAGGTGCCAGAATCATCTCTCTGGCCCCACAAGCCTGCTTTTAATAAAACCTGAAAATGTCAGTGAGGGCCTGGAGATAGCCCAAAGAACTGGAGTGCATGCTCTGCATGCAGGAGACCCATGTTGGAGCCCACATGGTCCTCTGAACACCACCAGGAGCACCAAGCCAGGAGTAGTCCCCAAACACAACCTTCCCGCTGCATTTCATCAGACTCTAAAAGTAACAGGAGAAATTAAAAATCGTTCTTGAATGAACCCTTCCCTCCACCATTTTAAATGAATGTCAAACACGTGCTGAAAAAATTTTGGCCTGAAAGGAAGATAAATTCTAATCTTCATTTAAATGTCCAAACCTCCCCAAGAGTCAAACAGAGGTAATGGTGCTACATCGTTAGGCAACTGGAAAGATAGAAGCAGACAGTACCCTGAAAGGACACCTGTTCCTCTATCCCTGTCACGTCTCCTGAGCTCACGACATCCTTCAACTTCCTTGTATAATACGCTTACTCTATCACTTTAATACGTTGTGCTTCTCCAGTTTTTTTATACTGTGAGCTGATAGCTGTCAGCGAATTTTTTCTGTGACTTCCTTTTTCTTGAGGTACCGTGCTTTACAATACTGTAAGTGATAGTTTCATACATAGTTCTAGTACCACATCAGAGTGGCTGCTTCTACCAATGTCCCAGGGGCCCCTCCCACCCAGGTAAGTTCACTTTTGTACAGAAATTCTTTAGTTCTGTTGCCTTTGGCCATCTGTTAGCAAATTCTTTTTATGTGTACTTTTTAATCTCATCCATAGACTCTGTGTGTGGGTTGTAGCCCCAGAATGACTTTAAAGCAGAGTTGGAAGCCTTGTTTATACTTTCATGTTTCCCCAAATGTACAAATGTGTTGCCAGGAGAATAAAAGTAGATAGGCCAGTTAGAGTATGGAACTAATCTATTATACTTGTTGTTTTGATACAGGGTAAAATCCAGTACCACGAATATGTCACTGAAGGATTTGAAAACATGCCAGCTGCATTCATGGGAATGCTGAAAGGAGATAATACAGGGAAAACCATTGTGAAAGTATGAGAAAATAATACATGAGATTTTGAGATCTTTTGTTTTCCTTTTTAACCTTTTAGAAAAATGTCTACTGTTTCATTATGGAAGAAATAGTCATTGTAATGAAATTGATGTCCCAATAAAATGTCTATTTATATGTTTTCTTCGTTTTGGAGGGCACTGGGTTACACCCAGCAGTACTCCAGGGCCGCCTACAGTTCAGTGTTCAGGAAAACATGTGGTGATAGGGGTCAAATGGAGATTTAGTTGCATGCAAGACAAGCTTATAATCTCTTAACCCCCATACAATCTCTCTGGCCCCAATAAAATATATTTAAATGGTCTGTAATTAGCAAGAGAGAATAAAAATTTCATAGTAAACAATCATAAGGCCTTATCTCAATGCCCACTTAGAGCTCCCTCTGGGTCATGGAAGGAAATAATGGCTTCAGAATCCAAAATTTTACTGCCACTGTGACACTGGACTTCTGTCCTTTTTGTCATTAAAAATAAAAACAGACCCTTCATATCCACATTACACATTTATTTAAAACATCACTTAATTTCCGGGGACTAGTAAGCGATGAAGTGTTAAGTTACCTCCCATAGAGATTAAGTTTGATAGATTAAGCTTTCCATGGCATAGGGAGGGTGGGGGTGGGGGGTGGGGGCTGGGGGAAACCTTCGACAATGGTGGAGAGAAGGGGACATTCTGGTAGAGGGTGTGGGTTTGGAATGTCTTCTGCACAAAACCCTTACATTAACAGTTTTGTTGATCACAAAGAAGGGAAGGGGAAATAGTAGCCGCATTGCTCCAAGAATAATCGACAGACACGATCTTTTAAAGTTCTAAAGGCAAAACGAAGTAAATGTCCAGTTAACCTGCTGCTCTTGTGTACTCAGACTTCCAACCCTGGACTGGGAGATGGCAACACTGATCCAGTTTAAACTTTGGACTTTCCCATCCCTTGGGAAAGAAATTTAGTCTGTGTGTGGGAAGAATGAAAAGACATGGGAATTGGAAGGAAAGACTGTGACATAAAGCTTATAGTGAGAAAAAGAACTATTACTCAGCCTCTTGGCTGTTAGATGAGCCACAATTAGCCACAAAAAATTAGCCACAGGGGCTGGAGTGATAGCACAGTGGGTAGGGTGTTTGCCTTGCACGCGGCCAACCTGGGTTCGATTCCCAGCATCCCATATGGTCCCCTAGCACCGCCAGGAGTGATCCCTGTGCATCACCAGATGTGACCCAAAAAGCAAAAAAAAAAAAAAAAAAAAAAAAAAAAGCCACAATATTGTGGCTTCTTTCTGGCCTATGGAAGAGAATGGAAGTGAGTTCTAAGCTGGAACTTCCCCAGTTTTCAAGTTTATGGTATCTTTATTATCACAATCATTTTCTCCGCAGTGCTCCAAGGCCAAAATAAATGATCTAACAGATCAGTTTGCTAATAGTTAGATTCTATCAGTTACAGTAGTCGCTGTCCTGGTCAGCGACTATTCTATTACTGTCACTGTCACTGTCATCCCGTTGTTCATCTAATTCCTTGAGCAGGCACCAGTAACGTCTCCATTCGTCCTTGCCCTGAGATTTTAGCAAGTGCCACATTGGAGGCTCTTTCAGGGTCAGGGGAATGAGACCCATCATTGTTACTGGGTTTTGGCATATCGAATACGCCACAGGGAGCTTGCCAGACTCTGCCGTGTGGGCAGGATACACTCGGTAGCCTGCCGGGTTCTCCAAGAGTGAGAACTAGACAATCTATTACTGTATTTTTATAAAATTTTAACCCCCTGTTCTTCATGGTAAAAAATAAGTATTGGTAAAGGGAAATGTGTTTGATATTTGCATGACTGAGACATAAACCTGAAAGCTTTGTAACCTTTCCCACAGTGATTCAATAAATAAAAAAAAAAAAAGAATTACTGAACTTTAGAGTATGTGAGTCATAGTTCAGTGAAGCAGTTAAAAAATAAAAGGAAAATGCACAAAAAAAAAAAATTTTAACCCCCTGAGAAGACCTGTGATTTCCCTCAAGTGTCCTGAAATACTTGCACCCTGCTGGCACCCATCAGTATAGGCTGTTTCTAGGTCAGTGCTTAAATAATCTAATATGCATTGTAAAATGCCCCCGAATTACTGATTTTCCTGCCTCTGGGACCACGAGGGCCATCTGGAATAGACAGCACAACTACAGAATCCTGAAAGAACTCTGAATGTTGGCAGATATTGTGGAAAATAGACTTTTGAGTTAAGATTCTTTGATTTGTTGAGCTCTCCAGCAGTGCTCACCCCCACTCCCTCCCCCCCGCATTGTCCACACTCACAGCCACTTTGTACTGTCCATGCTCATCCCCACTTTGTATTGTCCAATATGGTCCCCATTTAAAGGTAACTGAGACCTGAAAATAGGAACAGTGCAATGTTTCAAGATTCCAAAGACTGAAACAGAGTAAATATCTTTTTTTCATTAAACAGAACTTTATTGGTTCGACAGAACTACAATTCACTTGAAGTACTGCATCACATAGGACACTGCTGTTGTATTGGAGTACTTTACAGGAATGTGCATTAGTTTTAGAATTACAGAGAAACACTTCACCAATCCAGTCATTATCAACAGACCAATTCAGTTCAGACTTTTATTTTCTGTGCACATAAGTCACACCACAATGTATTTACGTGGGTATTCTACACAGATAGCACATGTTAAAGAATATCTATGCAGATAGCACAAATTACAATGAGACCACAGATTATACCTCTAATCATAATCTGAGATACCATTTAAATTATACTAAAATTATTTTTCCCATTAATACAGAAAACATTTCCATTTTATTTTTTTAACATTCCCATTTTAAATGAAGACATATTACTGACGTAGAATTCAATTCAACACAGAAGTTAGAATTACAACCAATACAGTAAACAGTGGGAAAGGGATAGTGTACATTCCACAAGTGACAATTGCGATTTACTTTAGGCACAGCAAAATGAGAAATATTAGCTGTATACAGTCAATACAGTAGACAATACTTAAGACAAAACTCAGTATCCGTCATTTTCATCAACAATTTGAGATTAATAAATTGACTTCTCCTAAAAGTCAAAACAGTATTTAATCATCCATGTAAAATGAGAATTAAATTTCTCATAAAAACATTTTTATGATTTTTGTTTTGTTTCTATGCTGGGCTCAACCCAGTGCATCAAGCATAAGAGGCATGTTCTGTGTCACTACGTCACCTCCCTGGGCAAATTTAAACAAATTTAAACAGAATTTGAGCTTGCATACTTAGAAAGCTATCAAATAGCTTTAAGCTTTTATTTTTATTTTTATTTTTTGACTTTTTGGGTCATACCCAGTGGTTTTCAGGAATTACTCACGGTGGTTCTCAGTGCTCAGGGGACCATCGGGGATGCTGGGGATTGAACCCGGGTCAACTGCATGCAAGGCAAATGCCCTATGTGCTGTACTATGGTTCTGCCCACATAAGCTTTAATTTTTACACACACATACATACATACACACACACTCATTTAAACATCTTTATTTCTTATATACACACTCACAAAATGTCTTATTTGGGGAGATAAATGATTATTTTACTTTTAGAAATGTAGAAAATTTTGAAAAGAGTAAAGATGTTTATAAAAATTGAAAATTTCAATTAATCCTCTAAGTAATTTTGCTCATAGAATGCAAGGAATTTCTAATATGAAACCCAATTGGTTAAAAATTTACAAATATCTTCTAGCTTTAGTTAAAGCATGTACTATAAGACATTGCCTAGTGAAGATTGAGTATTCTCTTTCTCATAGAATTTCCAAATTTACAAAGAAATGTCAGTTAACTTCCTAAAAATGCAAACTTTTAACAGAAGTTTTTGACAGTCATCCATCTGTCAAAGAAGTTCTTCATAAATAGGAAAAATCAGTTTCAATCAAAAGAATGGGACTCAAACTATGTTACTTCAAAAGATCTGAATACTAGATTTAATGTTAGTGCAAGAGAAAGATATTTTTCCCTCATTGCTTTGTTCCATTGTTTGATAAATATTGAAAATATCTGTGTTCCATATTCTGAAGCAGACTTCAAGGGAAGGGAGATAAAGATATTAAATTAATATATTTATATATACATATATATGTATGTGTATATATATATAGCAGTAGTACAAAAAATTGCCAATCCGTGGAACTTTTGAAGATAATTATGTTTTTAGTGAGTTGTATTCTTTGATGTTTCTTGGTTGAGTTCTAAAAGAATTTTACAAACATGACCTCTAGTAAGAACTTCAAGTGTTTTTTTTTTTTGTTTTTTTTTTTTTTGGCTTTTTTGGGTCACGCCTGGTGATGCACAGGGGTAACTCCTGGCTCTGCACTCAGGAGTTACTCCTGGCGGTGCTCAGGGGACCATATGGGATGCTGGGAATCGAACCCGGGTCGGCCGCGTGCAAGGCAAAAAGCCCTACCCACTGTGCTATCTCTCCAGCCCCAGAACTTCAAGTTTTTTTTAAATCAAAAGGAATGCTTGCTAGATATTCACTTATAGACAATGTGCAGTTGACTCATGATTTCCCTACTATCACAATGCATCTGCATGAGCTGAATTTGAAGCTCGTGAACTTCACGAAAGGGAAAAATTCATGAACTTCTCAAACAGTTGCAAGGCTTTAATCAAAATTGAAAAATTATAGACTGCAACCGAAAAATGGTTTTACATACTGTTCCGATGACAGGCAAAATGTAACTTTTAAATGCAATCAACTGTGTTGGGTAGACTGACTGCAAAATAAGAATGATTTGTGGAAATTGATCAGTTTGTTCCTATGATATAATACCTCACTAAATTTAATATTACTAATAGTGAGCTAACACATGATGAATTCAGTTAAGTATTTTGAGGCTTTTGCTTTGAAATAATACAGATCCTTCTAATAAAAAGAAGTAATTTTGTCTAGGTAGAGATAAATATCAAAAGAAAATAATGTCTTATATTTGATTTGGTTATTTGAAGTCTTTTAGAATAAAAATGAAGCATGTTTGGAAGAACTAAGTGAATCCTTTCTTAATTCGTTAAGCCTTAAAAACCTAAAATATAGACCAAATAGTTCAAATGAAAATT